CTTTGGGAGGGAGGGGAAAGGCTTCCCTTACGGACCATAGGTTCTCAGTATTTCTAGCCAAAGATCCCAGCAGTTGAATTAGTGCATGCAGGGCCAACGACAGGTCTTCCACTAGAAGAAACAGATCATAGTGTAGCTTCTTGAGGTTTTTCACCAGGAATTAAAACAAATGGTCAGGTCAGCTATTAATTTGTGCCACCCTCCCTTCTATATGTGCTTCCTTCCTTCACAAGTCAGTTTTGTCCTTTTATTTCTCTCCTCTGCTCCCTAAATGGAGATGCCCCATGTTTCTTTCTACCATCTTCCTGATTTGCATTCCAAACTGGCCTGCCCTCCTGGCAGCATCCTATGTTCTAGTTCTTTTCCTGGCATTTCAAAAAGATGTAGCTGACCTGGCTCCTCCATCCTCAAGAATCAATTTATCAAAAATATATTTGAGCTGCTCTGAGGCCTATGCATTATCAGTTTTAGGTACCATATTTTCATTGTCTGATCTTGAGTCTTCTAGCATTTAACATCTTTAACCAGTAATCTGGTTCCAATGTGGGCATTTAAGGCATTGTTTCTGATCAGAAGGGAAGCTATTTAGAGTGAAGGTGGCCGTTCTGTTGTCCCCAGCAATGTAGACACTGCCTACATAGAGGACTGGTTCTGTCACATGCCCTTTGAAACTATTTTTAAAACTTTTTTTTGGCTGTAGAACATTTCTTCCATCTTTTGGAAGAATGTCTATAATTTCTGAGGTCAAAAAGTCATTGAAGAAAGGGGTTTGTTCAGTTTCCTCCTCTCTTGTGTCCTGACCCATATTCTCTTTCTCATGAAGCGTGGCGTCGACTACATCCCTACAGCAAATGTGAGTGAATGTTGCAAGGCTTTTTCTTCCAAGGGTCCTGGATGAAATTCCAGAACTATGGCATCAAAGTGCAACTCAGTACAATCAACTTCGTTACATACTCGTATCGTAAAGGTGATACCGTTCAAACAGTTTTCTGATCCAACGATACTATATAAAATTTATTTGCCATCCCTAGGCAAGACGACGTATTTCTTGAGCCAACTCCAAGTGAATTTTCATTGTTGTTCGTGTTCTGTGTTGGTGTCTGTGAAGTCTTTCTCTGGTTCTGTAGGGAAGAGGGCCGTGAGCTATTAACAAGGTCTTCACAAGAGGGAACCAGTTTTATCTGCCCTCCTGGACTCACTGATGGGATGGATGACATGGCTACCCAAGATCACCTTTTTATCATCAATAAGGACATCCTAAAAAAACACAACACACATGCACACACATACACACACACAAATGATGACAGAAATTCACTGTTTAGGAGTCTTTTGGATAGAATTTTATGTTTTATTTGACCTTTTGTTTGAGAAACAGAAATTCTCAAACATAAACTGCAGAGTGCAAATCTCAGCTTACTATAAATTGGTCTAATTAAACCTTATTAACATTGGTACCCCAGGGTGAATTTTCATCCTTTGCACAAAGGATGATATTGCTGATTTCCACATAAAACGCAGGTGAGTCTGATGATTTTATGGGTGAATTTTCCAAATGAGGATAGGAAATGTGCCAAAACCCAGCATCTCTGAAGCACATGGGGATATATAATGGTTCAGTAATTGCAGTTTTCATTTGGGAAACTTAAAAGGAAAGGAAAACAAAAGCCGTGTCCTATGTTTGCAGGGTCTTGGTAAAGGAACCTCTGGTCACAGGTGGAAGGCTGTCAGAGGTGTTCCTGGGGGGTGTAGCTGCCATCCTTTCTGCACCTCCCAGCTGCCTCTCATCTCACTTTTCCTTTCTCCCTTCCTGAAACCTCAGGGGCTATCTTAATGGAAGGAAAAGGCTCTCACCAGACAATGTCCCTCTGCAGAGGTGGCCATGTTGACTTTCTCTGACAAGCTTTCATTCTAATGGTACTGTGAGGACACAGTATCTACTGGAGCTAGAATAAAATAAGGAGCGCATGGAAGGGCTGTCATTATGATACAAGACATGGCTCTGTGTGTCCCTTCCACTGGTCATTGCATCCTCTTCAGCTAGTCTTTGGGTCCAGGAAAGGAGTCACCCAGCAAGGAAACGGTGGGATATGGAGCCTCGTTGTATTGGTGGAGTCTGTGAAGGTGGAGGCGCCTGTCGCACCCCAACATAGCCTAGTCACTTCTTCACTCTGTGGTCTGAATTCCAGACTCAACACATCCAACTGCCTCCTCGCCATTTTCTCTTGGAGGCCTAACAGGCAACTCCAACGTCCATCTGTCCTCCCTGAGCTAAACTCTATACATCCGCCCTCTCCACTAAATTCTCCCCTCCTTCAGTTTCCTCATTTCAGTAAGTGGAGCAAGCTTCTAGTTGCAGAGCCTCCTGCAAGGGCTTGCCAGGAGAAAGTGTAGTTTGAGAAGGAAACCCAGGGAGCAATAGTGACGGACTAGGAAGAGTAAAATGAAAAGAGGGAAATCCCATCCAAGGCAGTTTGATTGAGCTGGTTACTGCTGTGGGCTCTAGTGGGACCCTCTAAAGAGATGTGCATGTTATCACCAGGGTCAAAAGTTACCCCTGCGGTGTGAACTTCCTGGATCTTCCAGACTTCTGCAGGTACCAGAATGCCCTGGGGCAGAAGGAAAGGGATGTAAAGTGCAGGCAGGGAGGCCAAGGTGCTGTCAGACTACACCTGAGGCAGCTCATTGCTGGAGCAACTGCCGGAACAAAAAGGTGGGTGGAGAGGTTATGAGAGAGTGCAATACCTGGGAGTCATCCCTGATTCTACACATTTTCTTCATCTCATTTTCCATTCATCAGTCATTTCTGTACACTCTACTTGTAAAATATATCCCAAAGCTGACCATCTCTCGCCATCCCCACAGCCATTGCCCTGGTCAAAACTATCCACATCTCTGATCTAGGCCGATGTAATAGTTTGCTGATGGAGCTCTCGGTCTTGCTTCCCTTCTTTCTCCCCCACCACACACCACACAGGCCACACACAGCAGGCAGCAGCTGGAACAAACCTTTGAAAAATCATATCATAACATATCCTGGCCCCTTTTAAAGCCCCATGACTTCTCACCTCAGCTGGAATATGTCCCAAATTCTTTCTAAGATCCACAAACGCCTGGGCATATTTTGGTCTTTTGCTCCCTTTCTAACCTCGAGTCTTGTAATTCCCTCCCTTTCTCTCACTCTGTTCCAGACACTCTGGTCTCCACTGGCCTCTTTGCTGTCTCCAAATTGCCAGACATGGTCCCATGTCACGGCCTTTGCACTTGCTGCTGAATGCTATTCCTTCAGGGGTGTGTGCTTCGCTCCCTCACCTCATTCAGTCAGGTCTCTGCACAAATATCACTTCATCAACAAGTTTGCTTCCTAATCATCTTATCTAAAATAGTAACTTTTCCTCTAATTATCCATTTCCTTTTCCTCATTTCTCTCCTTATCTAAACATTATAGATGCATTCTGCTTTTGTCTTCCCCTCCCTCAACAAATGTAAGGACCTGGCAGAAGATGCTGACACTATATGAACCAAGGTGGTGGCCTACTGCAGGGAAGCAAATATGGCCCATGGGCCAACATCCGGCCACTGCCATTCTTTGTAAATAATGTTTTATTGGGACACGGCTATGTTCATTCCTTACACATTATCTAGAACCACTTTCATGTTACAAGGACAGAATTGAGTATTTGTGACAGACACAGCATGGCCCACGAAGTCTAAAATATTTACTGTCAGAACATTTAAAGATGAATTTTGCCAACCCCTAACCTATTGGGAAGAGCCGTGTGCCGAGAACCTGATTAGTGAGGATCCTGGTCGCTGCTCTCTGTAACTGAGCATTTATGTAAGCAGCTGGCCTACCTTCAGTGAACCTCAGCTTTTTAATCTTTTGTACGGTGTAATTTGCATTAATTTACATAAATGGATATTCATTTAAAAGTTCTTAGCCTGAAGAAGGTACTCAGTACAAATTAGTTAAACAACAGAAAAATAAATTAAAATGCGGTAGAGAATGCTCTGAGCGCTGTCAATGACACAGGGTTATAGCGACAATCAAATGAAGTTAAGGACTGGGAGGATCCTGAGACCGGAAATCCTCACCCCGTGATCACTGACGCTAATGCCCAGACCAGACCTCTACTGTTTGCCCACAGCTTCACCTCAGGCACCGGGGCGGGGGAAGCAGTGGCTCCACAGGTGAGCCCTCCCTGACTTGGGAAACTGAGGGAGCGCCTAGAGTTGCCCCTTAGAATGCTTTCCATTTCTAAAAAAGGAGACTTTCGCATGATTCCAAATCATACGTGTAATGGAGGACATGGAAATGGGGGTGGGGTAGAGGTGGGAGGGACCGACACCTGGAGCCCGTGTGCTCTCCTTGGAAGACTGTCCTCAGGGTCTGGTCTTCTATGATGTTTTTGTTGCTATTTAGCTATGTCCATGCGTTTCTATATCTAAAATTTGAAAGAGACACTGTGTTTTGTTGTTTTGTTTGTTTCTCATACTCAAAGCACCCTTCCCTATTCCTGGGGGTGTCAGTGGGGCTCCCGTAGCCAGCACCGAGAGCGTGGGATTTCCCACTGGAGAAAGCTAGCTTTATTTTTCCAGGTTCCCTATTAGCATGCAGTGCGACCTTGAAAAAGTTGCTTAATCTTTCTGAACCCCTGTTTCATCAACTATAAAATGAGGACAATGCATTCTCATTAAATCGTCATGAGAATTTTAATGAGATTGTACACCTCCCACCACCAGCCCTATCCCTGCCTTTATAAAAATAGATCACTTACAAATTAGGTGTTTTAAAGTCTGAGGCAGCCTATTGTTATTTCCAACAGATGACTCCTGGCAGGCTGGGCGTCTGAGACAGATATATATACACACACATATGAATGTGATATGGAAGCTTATCCCTCACTTCTTTTAGAACAAGCTCCCACAGGCCGGAGGATGTTTAAAACAGAAATGCATTTCAATGCAGACATAGATCAGAGACGGACAAGAGCCTCACATGGAGGCAGATGAAAGACGATTCAATTAGGGTGCAGCTAGCCAGGAATCCACAGATGTGCTGGGTTTCCTCTGCATTGTGTTTTCTCTGGAAGGAGAATCACAGAGAAGCCAAAAGTCCCTATCGGAGTCAACTGAAAATTCCAGATACAGGAATGAATCCTTTTTTGTTTGCCAGGGAACGTTTTTAGCTCAACAGCTGTGAACCTAGGACTGGAATCTAGAAACCTCTGCTAGGATATCAGCATTCTTTGGACCACGCTAGGTGCATTACCCATTTGTTGGAGTCCTCACTCCTCACGGATAAGAGGGTTAGAGAGGTGAAGCGATTTGCTCAAATATAAACAGCTAGTAAATGGCAAAGCCAGGAATTAAAAAGTCCACTTGACTGACATCGTTTCCCCAGCCACCTTGAAGCCCGAACACTGTGACCCACAGGAAGTGGGAATTCTATTGAGTTCAAGCATCCTGCTTACCACCTGAGGGAGGAGGCAGGTGAGGAGGATGAAGCCATCAGCACTCATTGCCCTGGAGCCTGAAGACAGGTGAGGAGCCCATCCCCTTGTAATGTACTGAAGTACAAGCGAGAAGTCCGGGACAGCAGGACAGGCGAACGTGGATGTTGGCGAGGGAAGGGAGAGGTGAGCCGAAAGCAGGACGTCAGAGGCACACTCCATCCCCCATTGCCTCTTCTGGTTACAGAAGAAAGAGGCAACAATGTGCCGTGAAACAGCCCTGTTCTCACAGCCCTGGTGGACCACTGTCCAGCTGTGGGACCCAGGGCATGGGGTCCGCAGGGGTAGCGGGCCCCAGGGCAGGAGCTGAGGGGACACAGGAGGAGGTCAGCCAGTGACCTATGCGACTCAGAGTCCTTGTTAGGGAAAGGTGGGGGCAGTTTTCCACCGAAGCCATGCTGTGCTCCATGAGAAAGGGCTCGAATTTGGATACTTGCCAGGCCAGACAGCCTTTTGCAGCTGAGAGTATACTACAAACAGCACCAATTATGTAAGAGAGGGCTTTTGTCAGATTTGCTGTAATGCTCCTGCCACTTTCCTAGCCCCACACCAGCTGACTCTGAGTCACCATAATAAGATACAAAGCCAGGGAAAATAGCTGTTGGCCTAGGGGGTCTGGGGATTAGGGATTTAACGAATGAATTAAAGGGGACAAGATTTGGTCCACAACAGCTGGCTTCCTCTGACACTGCACTGGTGCAGGAAGTGAGATGTCACCTTGCTATTGCCAAGTAAGGGAAGGCCATGGTCTCCACTCAGCCTGACAACCTGGGGGGTAGGGGCACCTTATTATGGCTGCTGGTAGGAGTGAAAGTTAGGGCTTCCCAACTGACCTCTACTGACACGACCTTGGCTGAGGAAGGAAGGCTCCTGTTAGTGATCCCCACATGGCTTCTGTAATGAGGGAGTAATAAGGGGGCCTCTTTATTACCATCATAGGAAAGTCCTAGTTCCCTACTCAGTATTCTCTGACACCATCCCAGCAGGGGAGCTGGGCAAGTCCTTCCAGCCTGCTGAGTGTGGAAGTCTATGCTCCCCAAATGCCTGTGCTGATGGGGCTGCAAGGGCAGCCATGTTTTTTTTTTCATGCTGTTTTGCTAGAATGTGGTGGTTGCTGTGGAACTGCCCCTTTTTTGATCCAGGCGAGAGAGTGCAGGTGTTTCTTGATGCTCTTTTGTCTGTTCTCACTCGCATTTCTGGGTTGCTGCGTTCTGCAGCTCCTAATTTAGGATGTGTCAGGCAACAAAGAAAGCTCAAGGGACTCACCACTGTGTCATGCCTCGGGCCCAAGGACCCTGCCAGTCGGCCTTGTCCTCTCCATGTTTTTGAGCCTTCTTGTTTGTCTTACATATGATGTTCAACTCTTCCAGTACTTTCACAGTTCAATTTTCTAAATGTTTAATCCTCGTGGCATCTATTCTAGTGTACGGAATTGTATGGAACCACTATTTTGACAAATGTCAAGTGAACTTATGAAGAACCATAAAAAACCCTGTTGCCTGTTTGTTATAATTGCACTGAGTTTTGTACATTTGCTTGAAGACCAACCCTTATTTGTCTAAGTGAGGAAACAGTCTAAGGCTATAAAATGAATTTTCACTGTCCCTGAGGTCTAACATAATTTTCATTCGAACAACTTTTTTATGTTAAAAAATATCTTTTTTTAATGTGTATCATATGCTCTGTGTCCAGTGCTTTATGTGTAGTATCTCCTTTAGTTCTCTCAGCAACTCTGCGCGATAATATTTTTATTATACCAACAAGAAAACGAGTTACCTTGCCTATGGTCCCCCACTAAACAGGAACTGAATTTGGATCATAATTTAAGTTTTCTGATGTATGCTCGATTTTTCTTTCCTTATGTGTTCAGGACCCAGAAAAATTTTCCTCACAGGATTATGCCTTGCTTACAACATGCCAAAATTAGATAAACAAAGCACTGTTACTGTATCTCTATCGCTAAGAACAAGGCAATGCTTCAGTGAGGTATATCTTCAACATCTTCCTTGTAATATATTTGCTACGATGACTTTTTTTTTCTTTAACATGTCAGCGTTCTTCCCATGGGAGGAAAGAAACGGCAAGCATAGACAGCTTAAACCACAGGACTATAAACAAGGCGACATTTTAAATAGTACCTCAGATAACGTTAAAATTTTCTCTTTATTACAAAGCATTATGATTGCCTTAAAATGGCTTTGGTTCAAAGGAGAAGAAAAATACTGCCCTGTTCTCTTTTGGTTTTGGTTTTGGTTTTTGCCAAGTGAAGGCCCCACTCACCTCTTCTTTCAGAATCACCTTTCCAAAGCAGGTGATTGACCCTGAATGATAGGTTAAATAAAAAAAGAAAAAAAAATGAACTATTTCTGAAAGTGTAAGTCTTTATTTCCATGTATGTTGAAGCAGGAGGAATTTGGAAGTGGGGAGCATAAGGTGATGTCTCACGACTCATAGAAGTTGTGGAAATAACTTGCAAAGAAAATGTAACAGTGAGACAACAGTACATTTAGAGTTTGAGAAGCAGAGAAAGGCAGAAGTGGATGAGCCGTGAGATGTGGAGTAGAGAACAGGCTAGGACTCAGGTAGGAGGGCCCATGGCCTGGGATTCATCCATGACTGGACGAAAAGATGGTTCCCAACGGTAGCCACTGCCGCTCAGCTGTGTGTCCAGTGTCCTTGGAGTCGTCCAGCACAGCCTGAGAGAACATTCACCTGAACCATGCATTCAGAGGCAAAAGTTATCTTCTGGGAGTCAGTTAGTTATCTGCTACTGTGTAACAATTTACTACAGAACTGAATGGCTTAAAGCTGCAGCTTTTACCATCTTACCGGATCTGCAATGGAAGTGTCAGTCCTGGGGCTCAGTCAAGCTCAAAGCTCAACTAGGGAAAAATCTGTTTTCAGGTATACCGATGTGGCTTGGGCATGTCCTGGGTACACCTGCAAGAGAGTAAAGAGACAATGAGGTAGAAACTATATTTGAAGAAACAATGGTTAAGAGTTTCTAAAACTGGTAACAGATATTACTTATAGATCTAAGAAGCATTGTAAACTCTTAACAGGATTTTTTTTTAAAGAGCAAACAAACATACATAGGCACTTCATTATCAAATTTCTAAAAATCAAAGGCAAAGAAAAGAAAGCACATTACTTTGAAAAAAACAACAACTATAAGATTAACAGCTAACTTCTCCATAGAAATAAAGAAATCCAGAGGGCAATGGGTTTTAGTACTTTAGTACATTTAGTACTTTGGTACTAAAAGTACTCAGACAAAATAAGTGCCAATCTAGAAGTCTATACACAGCAAAAAACATCGTTAGAAATAAAACCAAAATGTGTTTCTGAAAATATGTTTTCAGAAAAACCAAATCTGAGAGAGCTTATTGCCAGAAAACATGCACGAAAGGGAATTTTCAGACAGAGGGAAATGATTCCAGAGAGAAGCATGAAAATGCAGTCAGGAATGGAAAAGCAATAGAAAGGGTAAATAAAATTGTGGGAAGTAAATACTGAGTGTATGAAACAATAAAAACAATACTTCTTTTACAAACACGCAGAGAATGAAAATGCATAGCAACAATACAGAAAAGATAGGAGGAAATGTAAACGGAGTTAAAGGGTTTTAGGGAACTCTGAAAAGTAAAAATTTCCGTTAGACTTACTTAAGAGCACATGTTGTAGTTTCTGGGGTCACCACTAAAAGAATCATGAAAAGATTGCATAGCTAAGATACTAATGGGGAGGAAAATTTGATAATAACAAAGGAAAAAAATGGCTGTCCTTTTTTTTATTCAGTAAAACCCCCTAAAGGACTTTGTTGAGTGTGTGAAATGATAAACTCTTGCTTCAGTTTAGATGGGAGAGACATTAGGAAAAAAAAAAAAAAGATATAATTTATTCCACATAAAAAATACAGAAATTTGTGAGTTTTGCCCTGCAAGTTCAAGGTGATCAAATAAGTCCTAAAAAGAGGGATCATAAAGATACAGTGAGAGGCCAGTGCCCCTGATGGGACATGAACAGGGAGAAAAACTTTGCGGCAGCCCTTGTTATTATCTTCCAGCCTTCCTAAAGTTGTGGAGTACACAGCATAGATGACCTAAAGGGGAAAAGCTGCCCTTGGGACTAATCTAGGTGAGTGAGAACTGCAGATACGGGAGCCCAGGGGGTGAACAGGAGTTGAGAGCTGAGTCAGAGCTCAAATGCACAGCAAGCAGGCCCCGAGCGAACAAAAATCCTCGGGGAAATTCTCTGAAATCTTTATGATTTGATTGTGCTTATGTCGTGGAATGTAGAGGTCACTGAACTCCCCTTGGTGCTTAGGGTTTTAAGCCTCTTTACCTGGAGAGTCAAGTCCCCCAGCAAACAGGAGAATTTGGTGGCAGCTGGCTCTGCATGTAATGTGTTCCCTCCCGCCCATTGTGGCCCTGGCTAAATCCTACTATTATCATTATAGCCGCCCACAGAAAATAAAGTGTTCTTGCTTCAGTTCTATTCTATCCCCTCCCCCTTCTCCAGTCTCCACTGAACTAATGGATAATGTCAAGATAGGGGTGCTTATCTGGAATCCAGTGGAGGCTTAATTATTGCAGACAAAAACCACTAATGAGGAAACAACGTTATCTTTCACACATAAAGCTGTTTTGATAGAAACTAATTTATGGCGAGTCTCTCCTCCAGGCTTCATTATGAAGGGCCTCTGTCCTCCTGGCTTTCTTCCTCCTTCTCCCCCTATCACTCCTCTACTTTCATTAGCTCAGTCTCCCAGGAAATCAAAGAGAGGAGATAGTGCTTTTCACACCTTTTACAAGGAACGGAAGCAAGGCGGCAGTCAGGAATGGCTCCCAGCAAAATCGCCAACTAACAATGCTTTCTTAGGGAGTCTCTGGCTTTTTCTTCCTGGCTACCTTTTCCTCTCTGTGTCTCCCTCTCATTCTTTCATTGCCATTTGCTATGTGGCTGCTTGAAGCATCTGTTCTGCCCTCACTCCTCTGTGCTCTTTCCTTATCAACAAGGATCTAAGCTGG